TTTTATGCGTGGTTAAAGAAAATATTGAAAAACAATATTTCTTTTATTATTCACTTAAATATGAATTTGATTCTTTGAAACATTTTTCGTGCCTCAAGTAATACCTGAAGTCAGAATACTCACGCTACTACTGAACATCGTAAACGTTCAGCTGTAAACCCGATGCGACCATTGATCATGAACTGATCAGCGAGAGCCCGAAACATAGAGTTTCCATCAGGACTGACGTCATGAATTTCAAAATGATTGGTTGTTGCAAAGTTTTGTATTGACCTTCTGTATATAGAAATGTCTTTATATTGCCCCATTCTTTCGTCTGCAAGAAATAAGCAACATACAGCACTTATATATTATATATAGATGTTGAAATAAGGCGGGAGGGGGTGGAATTTTGTAACTGAAAATCGCTGACATGGAAACATGGCTGCAATATTGTCGACTCGATGTTTAATAACTTTTCTTATAAAGCTGATATACCCGTAGGGACTGGAAATATGTCCCCAGTCCATTGCCGATATTTAGAATGTTAAAGAAAACACAACTATTATATGTGTGTGCTTTTCCCAGTAAACACAACTATAAATGACTTTTTTTGGCTTGTCAATGAAATTTCAATTTTTTACAAGTCCATCTCCCAAAACTGAAAATGTTAGGATGTGCTCCCCCAAAACTGAAATTACTTTCATTCCTAAGGGACAAAAGCAATAACTAAATTGTGAAGGAAACACGTAAAATATGAGTTTTAATACACTTCATATAATAAAACAATTACAATACAATTTGATTTTTTACAACTCAGTTTATATATTGGAATTTATGCAAATTATTTTTTTCATTTTAGGAATATGGAACTCATATACGATATTACTTTTCAAAATCATTCTCGACTTAATGTTTAGTTATTTAAAATAAGTAGACAAGCAAAGGAATCCTTAAAAGGTTGTATATATAAAACAAATGGTTTATACTGACCATTTATACTTTTCGATGAGTCTTCATAAGGATTTGAAACGTCTTCTACGTCAAATCTCAGTCCATGAGTTTCCATGTATTCTTCCTCTTTATCAAAGTAATCTATTTCATCGATATTGTTATCGAAAGCGGCATCGTATGCTCCAGCCTTAATAGCTGATCCCCCTTCATCGCCCTGCACAGTAGAGGAAAATCCTACCCCGGAGCAAGAGTCTTTTAAATGTTCTGACGACTGTACGTTTTCTTTTAAACCTCTTTCCGGGCTGTCATAATCAACATCTTGATCCAAGGCGTCTAACTGATCCAAAGTTAAAGATGCACGATTTTCTAATTCAATAAACATAGAGAAATTTTCAAATATAACGTCACTGTCTTCTCTTATATAATTATCACTCCGTAAACAATTAAGAGATTTCCTCCACACTTTCTTTTCTGTCATTTGTGCAATATTTTTCGACGCCATTTTAATCCAGAGCTTTTATAGAAATAAACAGACATTAATGTCTCTTCAGTCACATATTTCAACCTCAATTCAATGTCTTATTGTGTAATACAAAATTTAAATCCTATATAATATTCTTAATATGCTAACAATTTTCAAACATCCGATAAATACACTAAAATATTTCCTTTAGTCACTTTAAAAATAGTATAGAAAGTACGGCACACCGATTGCATCAAAAGTATATTCTCTGTAGATTGAAATCTAAAATATACACAATCGAGTTAACTTTTTTACTGCGTTAGTTTTGCCCATCGCCTCACTGTCGTAATCTTTAGCAGAATTCATTTTATTTATGAAATTATGAATGCCAGTTAAAAGATCGGGGTTCCCTAAATGTTGGACCTTTCAAAAAATAATGAGTTAAAGTCATCATAATTTTCTATATTTACATCACCAGAAATAACGTGTCTTGTAGGATGAAGAACATGAACAGGCAGGAGAATCGTATTTCAGATTAATTTCCTAGGCTCTGTGGATTTTTTTAATATTCAAAAAGTATAGAAACAATGGCCGATGTACTTTTGAAGGAAAAACATGGCGAAGTCTTCAACTTGAAAAAGTGTGAAAATCACTTATTTATGACAAACACGAAAAACTTCATTTGCATTACTTACTAAACATTTTCCAACCACGAAATCAAAACCCCACAAACAAATATTTATGTCTCAAACGTTTAAAAATTTGACCCTTCGATAATATGTGATTCTACGAACAGTATGGTGGAATACAAAGCTGGATCCTTTTTGTAATTTAGAAGATTACTAATAATATTAACTGCGTCAATTCCTTTGAGGTGTAAGAAGAGAGGCCCATGGGTCACAACGCTCGCCTGAGCACTGTGGCTAGGAAAAAAAATAAATCAAGCAGTGAAAAAATGTATAAATGAGCCCAACCTTCCCTTAAAAGGGAGGGGTTATAATACTAATAACATATTTCTTTGACTTGCTGTGGTTCTCTCCTTAAAAGTGTGAACGTTCAGTTTGGCCCTTCGTACCCTACCCTGGGGGGGGTTGATTTGAACAAAGAACTACGAACGATAGTATTGTTCTCCTGCCTACCTCTAAGTCAATTCTCAAAAATTAACATATTCGAATGATTTTCGAAATTTTTATAGATATTTATATGAATTTTCATAAAACGTTACTTATTTGGGATACCAAAGAGAGATAACTCTATAATTTTGGTAAAACTTGTGTTTTTCACTATAGAAATGAACGGAAAACGGAAAATATTTTAAAAACATCTCCCCCCCCCCCCCCCCCCCCCGTGAAACAAAACTTCCTTTTTACAGGTTATATGGACTGTCATTTTACAAATTTATGCCAAAGCTTTTTGTGTTTCACGGGGGGGGGGGGGGAACATATGTTTATATACAAAAAACGAAAAAAATACTGCTTTTTCACCAATTTTAAAGCTATTTACAACTAAATAATTGTATTTTATTATTTCATATATGTTTTATTTATTTGCGTAAAAAATAAGCAAAGATATGAGATAAATTTTATCATATTTAAGACTTTTCAAATATGGTGATTCTTGAAAGTTCGATTTCACTAGAAAATATCGTCTACCCCCTTTTTTCAAGAGCTGGAATTAATGATAACTTACTATCTAGCGTTGGAATTAAAATGATTAATCAATAACTATAGAACTGTTCTTTGTATGAAACAAAGATTTAATGGCCAAATTGCCATTAACATTGAATTTAATGGGTGCAAAATGTAGGCGGGAATCAAGAGTTAGAGTTTGTAGTTCTTTAAATCTACACTACCTGAGGCTGCTTCCAATTAAATATGAACAATCATGACTCTCTGTTTCTTAGGAGAATTTTAAAAGATTTTTCCAGTGTATTCCTATGTAACACTTTGAGCGTTCATTGTGGCCCCATCCTACCTCCTTGGGTCATGATTTCAACAAACTTGAATTTACACTTCCTGGGGATGCTTCCATATAAAATAATATGACCAATCATGACTTTGCTGTTCTTGAGAATAAATTTTTCAAAGATTTTTTCATACATATTCCTATGTAAAATTTTGATAATCCAATGGGGTCTCATCCTACCCCTGGGGGTCATGAAAAGTAAACTTGAATCTACACTACCTGAGGATGCTTCCACATTAGTTTCATCTTTTTCCTTCCCAGTGGATCTTGAGGAGATTTTTAAAAACATGCCAACAAATTTTCACTATTTCTTGATTATATTCCCTTGAAAAAAAGGCATGGTCCTTCATTTGAACAAACTTTAATCCTTTTTACCCAAAGATGCTTTGGTAAGTTTAGTTGGAATTGACCCGGCCTGTGGTTCTGGAGATGTCGAAAATATGAAAATTTTACAGACGGACGGACAGACGGACTTCATACAAATTGTGATAAGAAAAGCTCACTCGAGCTTTCAGCTCAGGTAAGCTAAAACCGGGTTGTTTTATCTGCAAGACGAGGTGGTTTTAAAGGCGTACGATTTACAATATCTACAGATTTACTGCTACATTGTTACAATGCGAAATTTTTATTCGAGGCAACAAATAAATTTTAAAACTATTTTTTCACTGAATTTCATTACACTAACAAAAATAGAATTTACACATTATAATTATTAGGACTTTGATATGCTCTTGGCTAATATAGTATGACAGTTTCCAAATGATTTTTCATGGTTTCTCGTCGCATACAGTTGTCTTTATATCCGTTCTTTTGAAAGCAGTCTTTTGCCTTGTTTAAATATTTCGCTCAGATTAAGACATTAATACCATCCATTATGTTTATCAATGTCTTAATATGAGCGAAATAATTATTTTGGGGCATTTTTAATGTCTGTTTTTCAGATATTGAGGTAGAATTTTCTCTAATTTGGCGTAGTGTAGTAACCCTTGGACTTCCGGTAAAGAAACCGTCAATCATGCTTTTGAAACATATGAGCCCGAAAAGTCGTTATGTAGTTTATATTTGCATCTGAAGCTCTCCTTTTTCTTTATTTTAAGAATTTCCAGCATGAGCAATGAAAATGTGTGCTTTCGGTCATTATGAAGAAATATAGGTAAAGAAAGAAGGGTTTTCTTCCTGAAATTTTAGTACAATACATATAATTAACAGCTACAAAATCTTGAAAACCCAAAACATTGTCAAATACTTTATTAAAAATGCATATTTTTTATTTCTGTTAAGAGGGCTAAAAATCACTTCTGGTAATGGGATGACAATCATTCAACCGTTAAAAAACTGATTTGGCAAAGTTAAAGATGACGTAACTTTTTTGGTACATAGTTTTAACCCGTATATAATTTTCCCCCTAAAATTAGGGTGTTGCGTTTCTTTTGAGTTCCAGTAAACTTAGAAAAGTATTCAACTTTAAGAAGTCAATTCTGAAATTTCAGCTAAATAGCATCATGCAAAGAATGCTTGATTAAAGCAATATGAGCTGCATGTTTGACATCGGAATTTTTTTTTCAAATGTGTAACTATCTATTTCAATGACAGAAAATGAAAACATTTATAAACTTCTGTTGTTCATATTTACGATAATTTTTTTTTATTAGCTTTGATTGCAATAAAATTTAATTATTGTCGTCCTGTACAATAATGATTCCTTATATGATACTGTATATTCGGTTGTACAGAAAAATTTCTTCTGAGACATTTCTAAATTTGATTTTGGGCTTATGGGTCATAAGGGTTTAAATGACAAACAAATTAATCACAGTAGCACATTTTAACAGCAAAATAAATTTTCAAATATGCAGCTCATATTGCTTTAAATTAATTTGTAAATACATGTACCAATGGTTGAATCATACAGATGTAACATCATTATTGATAAAGTCCCCTTTGAAACATCGAACTTATAAAACTTAAGATCGATCATGATTTTAAAGACGTTTTCTATTTAATACATTTTAGAGTGATGTCGTCGTTATAAAGTTCGATGATGTTAAGTTTTTTTTTACAAGAAAAAAAATATACTGAGAGAAACTTCATTTATAGTGGCGTAGAAAACAGAAAACGACAAAATTTATATCTGAAAATGAGGTACAAATGGAAAACCAAATTTCTTTCCTTATTTAAAAATATACACTATTTTGAGAAGGAAATTTATGTGCAACTGCTCCGGAAACACTTATACAGTTTTTATGCCTGGGATTTTGTATACACGTAAACAGATAAGGAAGGGATGAAAACAGACTAGTAAAGAACACGATTCTTTTCACCAGATCATTACTTCAAATGATGACCACTAAGTGGGCATAGAAATCTCGATTCAAAGTTGTCAATATGTACAAGAACGTCTCACAATTGATTGAAAAAGAGAGATCGCGGAATCCATTGCACCATTTCTGGACAACGACAGCGGCAAAAAATTATACACAAGAAAACGACGGAACAGCCGAATTTTACAACCAATTTGAAGAGACAGAAAATAATGGAGTTTTATTCGGGAAATCAAAGACTTCAGTAGATCGCAGCTTTGGCCCAGACTATGTTGAAAACAGTCAAGAATCTGTAATCGTCCACAAAGCGGATACTACAAAAGGTGGGGTGAAAACGAAATTTACAGAAGGTAATTTAGAATTAGAATCTCTACCAGTTACAACTGACTGTGTGGAAAATTCTTTAAAATCAGATCCTGACTTGTCTGATATATCAAGTAAAACAAACCCTGACGCTGATTCAGAATCAATTGATCAATTAAAAGAATTCAGCGACACAGAGGAGACGGATTACTTCGACAGTGAGGATGAATATTGGGAAACACGGGCCAGTGAGAAGAATCAAAAGCAAGACATGGGCATAAATTTAAATCCTTCTACGAATTCCCCAAAAGGGGGAAGATATAGTAAGTTTTCAGGCAATTTTTTTTCGTTCCATGCTGATATGTCTATGAATACTCAAAAAATAAGGTTAATAATATGAAAAACAAAATTCTACTGTTACATTAAACATATGGGCGTCTTTGACTTGAATCTGCAGGAATAATGTTAGCTGCAAGCTGTAGCTCTCCGAAAAATATCTGTAGACCTACTGGTATTTTTTCAGCTACAAATTTCTGGGATTTCTCTTCCTAATTACAAATGGTTACTTGTTCCTTTCAAATTAAAATACACATAAACATGATAAATAACGTTCAAATATCGCGAAGAGATGACCCATAGATATCAATCTTTAAATGAAATAGTAATAAAAATGTAACATTTTGTTGTAAATTCATTCAAAGATATTGCTTTCATATTTTTAAGTGGTCAACTACATTCAAATCTCTTATTATTTTATATCTTTACAGGTAAATTTATCAACCTTCCCATTTTTAAACAATCAATCCACGATTTTGCTGCTGATAATAGTTTAGAAGTACATGATGTCATTGCGGATGGGGACTGCCTGTTCAATGCAATAGCTGATCAGCTTCTGATTAACGGTTGTCCAGGTCATACAAAAGAGTCCTTACGACAAATAGCAACACAGTAAGCATACTTTGACTGAAAAGCAAGAATGGCTGTCGTTATAGGTACAAAACAATGCGAAATGTATGCTAAAAAAACTGTGTAAACTATACAAAAGTTTTAGTTGTCTTTAAGGTACTCTAAACAAGTCAGAAGTGGAACATATGTTGGTCTTGCCATTGATTTACTGACTTACCAAACCAAATTTTATCATTCTTCACTTCATTTTTAGACATCTTAGAAAGAAATCTCGTGAAGATGATGGAACTCATCTCTCCTCTTTTCTGTTTGGGGAGACTTGGGAGGAATACCTCTCCAGAATGGAGAGACCGGGGCAGTGGGGCGACCACATTACTCTTCAAACGCTTGCTGATGTTTTTACATTAAAAATCATCGTTTTTAACGTCTACCAAGATGACATCAGGAGAACTGAGGTTGAGGCTGAGTCCAATGAAGACATTAAAACGAGGCTGACGATATACCTGGGTCATCTTGGCGAGTTCCATTATCTGAGTCTACGTCCTAAACATTGGCAGATACACTGGCCCTACAGTAAGTTATCATTTTCATCGCTTTAATATATGGTCCGAATTCTGTGATTTGTTTGTTTTTCTGCGATAGAAATGTTTAAAAATGTTATGTTTTTTTCTCAATAATTATGCAGAAGGAAGTGCTACAGTGTCGTGAACTTCCTTAAAGATAGCAACTAGTTTAGGTATATTATCTGAAATAACTTATGTGACTCATTAAACGAAGCCTCCGTTTGATTTCTGTGTTTTATTGTTTTTGGTGTAGTTATTCATAATTAACATATTGTATCTATCCTGTCTGTATTTCATGCCTTGTCTGTCCAACAAATAAAAAAAAGATTAAAGATTTGAACTCGTAAAACTTGCAACCATAACTGAAAATTTTAAAACTGTATCAAGTTAAATTAAATCAAGGTATTGTGGTCAATATAAAACAAAAAGATATTTTTAAAGGTCGTCACAGGCCATGTACATGCAAAAGATGAAAGCCTCATCGTCTCTCATTCGAAAGTTATGACCAGTATTGAAAATTTGGATAAGCACTGAAATTTAAATTTCAAGGTCACTAAGACAAAGCCATAGTATATTTGGAAAGCACTTTCACTTCTCTATTCTAAAAACTATCACTAATGATAATATTTCGAAAAGTTGCTCAAACTTCGAAATAATGGGCATGGAGTCTAAAGGTCTTTTTTCTTTCAGAGGCTGTGCTTTACCGCTTACTAGCATGTTCCAAAGATCTGAACCCAGAGGACTCTTTCGCTCTTCTCAAAGACAGATTGTCAAGCATGTCATCAGGGAAATGTATTTCTAAAAGTGTACTAGATGAAACTTCTGAACATATATCTGGTATTATGCATAGAAGAAATGAAAAGAATACACAAGCAGGAAAGAAAAACCATGACGAAATCTTTACAGTCAACAGTGGAGGGGGGCTTCAACTCGAAGATACTGAAGGTAACGTACTAATTATCAAGGCATCAGTATCCATTTGAATATACAAATCGGAAGTTCGTATGTGTTAAAGTTTGCATTTTTGATCTTCTTTTGCTGGAGATTCGTGAAAGTTGTTTTTCATTGACACTTATATTGTCCGTTTTCTACCACTTTTTAAAAAAAAAATGTTCCTATCAAATAGACCTAACAAAATTATAATTTATTTGTTAGGGTTTTTTTTAAAAAGTTTTTATAATGCTTATTGTAGAAGATTTTTACAAATACTTAACTTCCTCTTACTGGAGATTTTAAAGAAAATATTTGTGTGTATGTATTTTTAAAAAATGAACATTTTGTTGGATATAATAACATCTCCATTGCAGATTCATTACAGTTATTGATTGAAGACCTTCTTCACACGGATCCCATATCAGGAACCCCCTTGCCACATTTAACATTCCTCCTAAAACACTTGATACCTATCACAATGCTTTGCAATGAATTTGGTCAACTCCCGCCACACACTCGAGGGATGTTTCAATTCCTGGGTTCATTTGCCGATGGAAGCAATTACATTTTAACTGACATTAGCAAAGCACAGAAAATGAGAGACTTTTATATTAAGCAAATGAGAGAAAAGGTTGCAAAAGTCGTAGTTTTAAAATCGAACATACCTGTATTGTCCTCAGAAGCTCCGCCGTTGCCGTATGCGTTGCATTTCGATACGTCAAATACAAAGGCCGGATATTGTAGGTTGAAATTCCCTCCTGAGCGCGCGGTCTTGGCTGGTGAAAAAACTTTCAAGATAGAGTCTGAAACTTATCTTCAAGCCTTCAGCATTGAAGGATACGATTCGAGTTTCCTGAATGCCGACATAAGTGCTAAAGTTAAGTATATTGGGCTAATATGTCCTTTGTCCTTGGTTGCCTTAGATTGGTTGCATTCGAGGCGAAAATTTGATTTCCCCTCACGCCTTCTTTTGATTTTATTTCATGACATGCCTTGCACATTGATTCCCAAAGCACATAAAAACTCGGAAAACCCATTAGTTGAGTGGAAAATAGATTTTTCAAAGATAGAAATGTTGCTTTTTGACAGCCTAACAGATTCACAGCGACATGGGTTTGCAGTAATTAAGGTGCTTCTTGATAACATAACGTTCCATGTTGAGAAAAAACTGCAAACAAAGCATATAAAATCTATATTTTTTCAAGCTTGTGAAGATATTCCATCCAACTTTTGGAATGTAAACTTTAGTGGCTGTGTTTTGTTTGTCCTAAGCAAACTGGTGATCTGCTTAAAACATAGGTTTCTACCCCATTACTTTATCCCACAAAGTAATTTAATTGACTGTTTTTCGGTGGAAGAAATTGACACTATATGTGTGTATGTTGAGTCCATTCGGGCATTTCCAGCCCACACTGCCCAATTTGTTGCAGAAAATCACGGATTTACATATGGACCAAACTTGGTGAAGTCGTTGCTGAATGACATTGCTTGTTTTGTGCAAAATAGGAATGTGGCAGCGGTCGTGGAACACACCGTGGTTCCCTGTACTTACCGCACAGCCAAGTTTCTTGCAAAGCTGGGATTTTATGTTCCAACTTGTGAGCTACTGAAAGAAATGCACATACAGACACAACTCATTACGGAATACAGATTGCAGAATTCGCTCAATCTTCAGGATTTCTTCAGAAATGCTTTACATAAGATGAAGCAGCGATCCTCACGTGTCATATTAGCTAAACTTTTCGATGCCAGATTTGGAACGAATATGGCAAATTTATTTTTCAAAGAAAAAGATTTTTCCTTGGCGAAAATTCTACCTTGGGTTGTCGACTTTAAAATTAACTGGTTAGAGGTCCCCCGAGAAAAGACGGGAGATCTGTCAACAGTAGCAGAATTTTTGCTTGAATATAGTTTCAAAGAATATGAGAAAAGAAATAAAACCCTGTCCACGTGCACCATAGAAGCCGCCATTCGTTGTTTGAGACACACAATACAAGAAGATTCAATTGACATGAAGGAAATTGAGGACGAAGATTTGAAACAAGAGATTTTATCTCAAAAGCGGGAACTAAAAGCTGTATTAAAGCTTTATTATACACAAGTATTTATAGTTTCACGCTTAAGGCGTGACCTTTGTCCACTGAGAAAACACATGCCTGATATTGAAAAACTTTTTCAAGAATTCCCTGAAATGGGACTTATTGTGAGTGACATGTTCGCATACCTTGGTATGTACAACAAAAGCGAAGAATACGCAACAAAATTTGCATCCCATTTCCCTGGGCTTCTAAGACCAAGTGAGTATCACGTTACGCTTTTGAGCATGGATTGCATGCTGGCTAGGACGTTTCATGAGATAGAATGCAAACAATGATCATAACTCAAATGGTATATACCTTTACAATTAGTATGGCATAAACTTTATATAAAACCAAGTTGAAACCAATTTCTGAAGACATGTTCCTCAAGTATCTGTTGTGTAATCTAGAAAAATAACTAGCAGATAATTATATTAATGATGAACATTTGTCATTTATATCAATATCATTTTTTGTAATGTACTGGACCAAAAAAAGTTGGGGTCATGGGCATTTGCATGGTTTGATAAAATTTTTGAGAGAAATATTCAGTAAAAATCGGCATATACTAGTAAACATGAATTGTGAAAAAAAAATTAATTGGTTTCTCTTCACTGTATGTTTCTTCATAATTTTAACGTGCCAATGAGTCGCCGATAAAAATAAAGTGCATTTTGGGTAGTTTCATTTTAAAAGCAGACAATATCAGTCAGCAGATATCGTTACGTTATTGATTAAGTGAACAACAATTGAATGTGGTTTAAGTAAATGTTTGCCATTCCAAAGACGTCATTTACAGACAAATAAGTGCCATCAAGCAATCGTAATTCTTCAGGCTGAAAAAAAAAACCAGTGAGATGCTGCTAT